AATAAGTAAATAAACTGTTTACTATTTTTATCTCCAATTAGTAAAAGTAAATAAGATCGTATATACAAACTGTTTCTGACTGCATCTATGTTTATTTTACATTAAATAAAAGACATTGATTCATTCCAAGAAGCACAGTGTCAATAAAATATATCTTCAAGACTTAATGATTATTTATCTAAATTTGTGGTTTTTAAAATTAATTTAATTTTTATTTATTTTAGTACTAGGAATCAAACTTAGTTCCTTGTACTTGCCAGGCAGGCACTTGTGCCCCTGAGCTATAACATTGGCCCTGTAAATTTGTATTATTTTAAACAGTAGTATAGTAATAACAACCAAGAACTCAATCTAGGAGAACTTTATAAATTCTATGTCTTATGATAATTTAATGACAGAGTAATAAATATTTTACAATCACAAAAATCTCTAACAATTTTATTGCACAATAAGTGTCAATATTTATGACATACTGGGTACCTTTACAATATTCTTTGTAGATGCTTACGTTTATGATTAAATATTTTAGATCTCTAAAAATGTACAGAAATTTTCAAAGTATAATAACAAAAACAGTGACTTAGAGTTCTAAAGAGAACATGTGGATTAAATTCTGACTTAGTTACTGCTATTAAATAAGGCAGCAGTTTTTTTCCCTAACTCACAAAACGGTATCTCTTAGTTTCTATGCTAAGCGCTTTGTATCACTTGGAAAAATAAAAAGATACAAGTTCTGAGATCCTTTTAGATCCCAGCTTAAAACCTCAAATATAATATTTAAAAGTCCAGTAATAGTGAATGGAAACTTGGCTGCACTGGGTTTTAAGAAATATTGCTTTTAATCAGTGAAAAGAAGGAGTCCCTTGCATCTTGGCAGTAACCTTAATTCCCTAGAAATTTAAAGTTCTGGATAGAAAATTACAACTGTAGAACTCACTCACTTCAAGAAGACAGAAGACAGAAGGTATCTCTTAGATTAATGTGTTAGACCATATCAAACTCACTTGGGGAAAAGGGAGATAAATATCCACGTGGCGCACACTGCAAAGCTAGATTCTCATTTCTTCCAGCACACAAATACATTTCCAGAGTTAAATCTTTTCATACAAATGTCTCACAAAATCATCTATCTAAAAAATGCTTTCATATTCTAAATTATATATCAGCCTAATTGCTGGGTTGACTTCACTATGAGACTATTAATGGTAGTAGTAAATAAATATGTAAACAATCTATCAGCATTGGATCTGTTTAACAAAGACTACTTAAAAACTTCTTAATGCCAAGTGAAATCAGTCCCTCTCTTTATTTTCCTAATTCAAAAATAAGTGAGAAGGTAGATACTCGATGGCAAAATGAAATGAGCTGAATTAATGCTCACAGTCAAGGAAGCATAAGGCTTCATTGTTTTAAGAACAGATGTTAAAGTCCAGAATCTGGATATAATTACCCTTCAGCCATTGTTGGTTGTATTTTTAAATTGACGTAGCTTTCATACTACAAGTTACAATGCCATACAGTGTTTAAGTGATTTAGAACTACTTTCAGAGAGAACGATGGTATTATAATATTTCCGTCATAAGTCTAATAAGCCCCCTAAACGTTCTATATTTCACAGATCTCAAGAGACAACCAGAACCACCAAGTTTCCTTTTGGTAATCAGATATCCAAATATATGCCGTTACAAGATTAAAGTTTATGGTTATTCAATGAATTGCCAATGATGAAAACCAAAACTATTTTGGTATTTCAATTGGATTTAGAAAAAAAAAAAAAACTAAGCCAAATCTTCAGTTATTTTCAAGCGCAAAGCCTTGGGTTCTAATATATTTCAGGTTCTTAGAAATGAATACTGATTTCTATTAATCACTAGTTTTCCTGGAGAGTTAGATTCACAGTCAATGGGCAAAGAATTCCAGTGCACTGGGAGAAGTGTGTTCAGTGGGAGCTGAGTATAGCAGGCTATTTCTGTTTAATACTAAAGCACAGTGTAATGGACTAGTAACTTGTGGTCAACTTAAACATCAGCTGAATTGAGTCGGCATAGTGCTGAGCATGGATGGCCCACCTGAGGACTGCTGTCAGATAAAAAGGAGACCTAGAGCCAGGCATGGTGGCTCATGCCTGTAATCCCAGCACTCGGGAGGCTGAGACAGGTATTGTTGCAAGCTCGAGGCCAGCCTGAACTGCATAGAGAGACCCTGTTTCAAAAAGAACAAAAACAAAAAAAAGCGGGGAGACCTGGAGAGGAAGAGCAGCATTGTGGGTTCTCCTAAATGTTGCTGTTTGGAGCCGTTGGTTCTCCTGAAGGAGTTTGTCATGCTGGTTCCTTGATATGAACTCAGCTGTTAAAATTGGAGGAGCTCGGGACCTTGTTGCTGAGGGTGGCTGTGGTTTATTTTGGGGGAGCTCTGGTCCTTACTTTGAGCATTGCCTCCTGGTTCCAGAGGGGAAGATCTGTGCTGTCTCCAGGACAACTTTGTCATGCTGGCTTCCTGATATGTACTCAGCAGTTCTCATCATTGGAGGAGCTCAGGACCTCATTGTCAATGAGGGTGGCTGTGGCACTTTTTGGGGGGAGCCCTGTTCCTTATTTTGAGCATCACTTACTGGCTCCACTGCAGAACTCTCTACCTACTGGCACAGATCCTTCACGTCACTGGCATAGACTTTCTAGCTCCACTGTTAACCCTTGGGCCTTCCCAGTGCAGATCTATGAAACAAACTCACATGAGTCATTGCTTAGGGCTGTAGGCCTCCAAATGGGCTCATGGAGAACACTGCTGTGGGATCCAGGCCCTCGGCTGGATCCTCTAGGTCTTTGGTGTGTAGACAGATTTCCTACACTTCTTGTAGTAGTTGATTCCTTGGTGGCCAGTATAAATAATACTATAAATTATGTGACCTGTATGTAATTGTTCTCCTGGCATCCCTGACTAACACACAGCTTAGATGTAGAATATGCCAGAGCCAATGGTAACACCATGAACAGTGTTGTTCACATTTCAACATGTATGTGAATCACCTGCATAGCCCTTTGAAACGAGGCTTCAGTCAGTAGGAGATATGAGGCCTGAATTTCTAACAAGTTCCCAGAGATACTGATCCTGCTGAAATAGTTTGAGTAGCACAGTTAGAGCCCTAGCACTGTTCTTCCTGTCTAGAAATGAGGTGTTGTAGGCCAGAAGTCGGAGGCCCAGGCTCTTGCATTCGGTCTGCTTTCAAGCAGCTATATGATTAGAAAAGTATTTAACCCCTAGTTGAATGATTATCTACTTCTGTAAAGTGATATACATCTGGGCCAGGTGAGGCATCAGGTCCCTTAGAACTATAGAATGGAAAGATTTAAAGATAATCATTATGTTTACGTTAGCTGCTATCATCCACATTTCCCTGGTTAGTTGTACTTTGTATTCTGTGAGACGGGATAGTATTTATTTTTAATGCCAGTTTCTATGCTTTTCCTTTACAGTTCTGAGAACACTAATTGGATTTGTACTTTCCTTTAAGGAGAGTTCTAACGAACGCTGGGCTTTGAATGGAGTTATCTGTTGCCCAAATGAAAACGTAGCTCCTATTATTTCACATTAGAAAGGTTGTAATATTCTTAAATAGATGGTAGTCCTTTTATTGGTGCCAATCTCTTAAAATACACCAAGCTAAGGTGGCAATTACTTAGTAATTGTTTCAAACTGCATGTAGTGGGGGAAAAAATCTTTTCCCTTCTTCAAACAGAATTTAAATCAGATGCCTCCCATTTATTCCCATATCAGTATCTTTATGCACAGTTCCATTAACTCCTGCCTGGAACATGGTTCTGGTCAGCCCATTGGTGTCCCTTCCCACTCTATTTCACAGTTACTCCCATACAGCACTGCCAGGACAGCGGTCCCATATTTCAACAAAGCTCATACTACCCCCAGTCAAAAACCTGCACAGGGCTCCAATTCAATTCCTTCACCCAACAGATCGACCTACTGTTCAGTCTCTCACTATGCCACCCCGTGTTTCCTATACTTTCCATTTGTGGATCTACATGTTTCCTCTACCTGCTACGCCTTCTTCATAAAATTCTACTCCTTCTTCAAAACACACTGAAAATGCCAGTTCTCCTGGTAAGAAATAGACGTCATACACCCTGCTCTCAACTCTGTTCTTTACTCAGCAACAACTTCTGCCCTACAATCTCTGTATTCTCCCCATTTCCCCCTTTCCTTTAATCCAACTCTTGGGGGCTATGTCAGCACAGATATCTCATTTAACACTGTAGCTCACACAGCACTTTTTCAGTTGTTTGTACCTGTTGAGGGAATGAGTAAAAAAATACATCTTTAGTGTTCATATGTGGATCAAGATGGTTAGGAACAAAAGTTTAAAACTGCTTATTAATATCATATTTATTTGGGACCAATTACTTAACATGTGTGTCTCATTCTTCTCTTATTTATTGGGGAACTAGTAAATGTCTGTTAAATTTTTATACTCACTTAAGGGACATAAAGAGCTATGTTATATGACTGGTGAAGAGGAAAATCTTTTGACTTACAAAATCATGGTAAATAGTTTCATAGGAAAGTATGTCCCATATTTCACTGTTATATTGTTAAGAAAATTCTACATGGAAAATTCAGAGTACCCAAGGATAATGTAATTAACTATAAAAACACTACACACTGGCTTCACAATTTGTTACTACCTAGAGTTGACAAGTTTCAAGAAGAAATACCAAATCTTTTCCTTAAGATACCATCAATGCCACTTTAAGAATGATACCACCATAATTGTCTATTTTGGTTTGCGGACTTTTACAGGTGTACTATGCAAGATATGTACATTTAAAAAAAAATCATGAGAATGAAAATGTCTAACAATCCATGATTGTAGGATTTGTGAACATTCAGCACATACCAAACTGATTTCCTGTGCTCCATAAGCTACCGCTGAATGGTAGGTGTGTTTAGTTATCTTTCTGTTACTAAGACACAATACTTGATACCCATAATTTAAAGGAGGACAGGTTTAATTTAGCTTAGCTTCAGAAGGTCAGTCAACTGGTTCCCAGGCAGAAACATCATGGGATAAGGGTGCTGGAGAACAAAATGTTTTCATGACAGCCAGGAAGCAGAGCAGAGGAACAGAGAGAGAAGCCAGACACAGCCCCCAAGGCCCTCCCCCATGATCCACTGAGAGGCCGTCAGAGGTGCCAGTCCACGATGCAGATCTCAAAGCCAGCCAAGTTGAAACTTCACCCTGACAGCCACAGTTTGGACCTTTTAGCAGCAGTGTGTTAAGCCTTTTAGAACATCAGGTTGTTCTATTAGTACAATATTCTAATAGTCATAAAATTTTAAAAGGCAAAGCTTGAAAAAATTTGCTCCATGATCAAAGAAATTAAGAATATATCAGAATAAATCTATAATTTTGGAAAAATGAAGAATATTATTACATTCCCCTAGTTCCTGAAAGGACAGCTGAAATCACAAGACTGAGAAAAGTATGTCTAACCTGCTAACAAACACTGCTGCCAAAGGTTTTCTCCTATGCTTTCATTAGCTTTTGCCATCTACTTTATGTGAGAAGTACTTGTAATTTAAACATCAGATCAGAGACGAGGAGGTGCAGGGCAGTGGTCTTCTGCTGAAATTATACAAGACAATTTTCGGGGGTGCAGCAATTTATGGTATATGCATTATTTTAATACATGAATATTCATTTCAAAGAGCATTCCCAAGCTATAACTAGCAAATTGAACTCTTTATTATTTTTCCTTGATTCACTCTTCCTTCTTATACAAATTTAAGTTTTAAAAGTGAGTACACTTTAAAATATTAATACAGTGTAGGTTGCATTGGCAAAAATCATGATGGAAGCTTGGGAACGCGTAGTGAAGAGGGAAAACTGGGACCAAGTGAAGGTGGTTGTGTCACTTTAGCCAAGTCATGTCCTTTAGGAGGGCCATTCCTCATTGTTAAAGAGATGGCTAGTGTGACCATGTAAGATCCATCCAGTACCATCTACTATTCTATAATGTGTGAATTCTTGTTAAAGGCCATTACAAGAGACAACATTCTCTGTAAAACAAAATAGGCATTCTAACCATTAACACAAGATGTCTTCCTTAAGCTTGTCAGGAAAATCAGTGGATTTCATGTAGAATTTTTTGAAATTACATTATTTCCCTGGTAGACTATCCTTTGAAAGATTAGAGATAAACTTGACTTTTGCTTAATAATTTTACTTTTTTCACATGGGAGGACCTCAAGTAGCTTTGGATTTTCTCATCAATAGGATAGATAAATAGAGTTTTCTGTATCATATTTCAGATGTGTAACTATTATCCAAAAATAGGCATGGATCTGCACGATGCAGTCAGCTGGAGGATCTAAGCCAACCACATTTAAACAAAAATATACTCGTTAGATGGAGAGAATCCAACTCAAAGTTACAAAAACCCCATATTTTCTGGTAAAGAATTACCAAGTAATATTTCCATGGTCAGACTCTGTTTGCTAAACAATCTTTGTACTTTGAAAAGTAAAACACTTTTTCTTTGAATTGAAAATACTACCCTCTTTTGTAGAAGGGTCAGACTCTCAAACAAGCCTGTCCTGAATGTTTCTATCATTACTTCCCACCTTTCTAAAGAGAAATGAGATTAACCAAGCAAGCTGCAAGGTAATAGAAAAATGCTTTTGCTGCTGTTGCTGCTGCTGCTGCTGCTATGGCTGCTGAGCCCTGTGACTCTCTGAGCTAAGCATTTTGGAAATTAAGGACTACAATCTTTTCTTCTTTTTTTCTGTCAGAATATTTACTACATCTATTAACCTAATTAGCTCAACAAACAAATGGACAAACACTAATAAACCAATATAATCTATTTTTGGTAGAAATATTTCTGATTGTAATGATACGAAAAATAAAAAAGAAAGATGCTACAAGGGAAATTCTTTTTACCTGTGATTTCTAAAAGGGTATATTCATAGAACACATCTGAATGCATGTAATACACAAATGTAGAAATGGACCCTCGGGATACCTACAACTTCATTATCTACTGCAATTTCAAAGACTTCTTGGAAAATGTGGCTTCACAGTTTTTCTTTACATTCTTCTGTTAAGTACATCTGTAGATGTAGTTGATCTTTGTCACCCTGGGGACAGAGAGTCTCTGACACTCGCAGAAAGAGGTGCACACCATGTGGAGCCGCTCTGGACTCCGCTCAGTCACTCCTGACTCAGCCTTCTCCGAAGAATGGCAGTCAATCTCTGTCTGGTCTCATTTACTGAAGATGCTGGGCCCCTGGGAGGATGAGGTGTGGGGAGCACAGGCACACCTGAGTTGCTGGCCCTCTTGGGCTTCTGTGAGGCTGGGGAAGCGATGGTGCTTGTTCTGTGCAGGCTGGGGATTCTGACTCCTGTTTCAGAGTCCAGTCTCGCAATGCTTCTCGCTCCATGATTGCCGACTGCTACGACACAGGAAGTTAGGCTGCCCTTGCGGGGGGTACATGGTGACAAGGGCAAGCTCCCGTTGAGCTTCCTCAGCTCCAGGAGCTGTTCTCTGGCTTGACTCAAGGCCTCCGTCAGCTCAAAGCGTTCTTCACACTCTCTGCGCACCGTTTCCTGAAGAACAGAGTTCTGAAAAGAGAGGGGAGCACCCCGGCTTTACACAGTGCACTCAGTAGTAGCTGTCAGCAAGACAAAGTGAGCTGGAAACCAGGTCAGTATTCTTTGCTTGTCTTAGTGACCCTCTACCTCCTTGGACAGACAAATCACAAACACCTTGTGAAGCTGAAAAGAACTTTAAAAGAGCATTTGTTTCAACTTTTTGCCATTTACAGAAGATGAACCAAGAACCAGAGAGGCTTAGTGACCTACCCAGGGTCACTCAGATGGTGGCCGTGGAGGTGATAAAACCCAGGATTTCTAATGCTTTTATTAGCAGGTTTCAACTTCTCTGTCTCATGTTTCAGACAGCATATCTGCATATGTGACATCTAATAGTTAATATCTGCAGGGTCATTAAATATGTGTTTTACAGTGAAGGTACATAGCAATACTGAAGTCAAACAGGTACAATTACATGGATTTTAGGATTGAAAGAATAACAAAATACATCAGCTATAACATTTAAACAATAAATCAGTTACTTATATGATGCTTTCTCAATAGGCATTAAATACACTGATCATTCACCATTTTGCAAGATAATATTCTCCAATCAATAGAAAGTTCTGCTTTTAATTCCATTTATCAATAATGTATAAAGTTACTAGAAGCTACAGTAGATGGTTTGTGTTAATTAGATTTGTGGTACTATAACAAAATGCCTGAGGAAATAACTTACACAGAGAAAAGGTTAAAGTTAGGGAAAAACTTTTTAACAGTCAGAGCTGTCTATAGGATACTTCTTGTTTGGTAGGGATTTCCTGAACTCAACGGAATCTTTAAATGTATGACTTAACTAGACACTTTTAAGTTCCTTAACAATTCTGAGATTCTACAATTTAGTTGAGAAGTTACTAATTTTTCAACTCTGGGGTTCATCAAATTTCCTTCAAGACCCATACTAAAATTAAATTTTAGAACTTCCCAATATCCTGACATTCATGTCTGTAAGATGTAAAAAAAAAAAAAAATCCTTAAAAAGTAAACAGATCAAAGTAGTCTTAATAAGAGAACACAATTAAAATGACTGTGATACAGAATTTATCAGCTCAAAATGGGTTTCCATCAGGTTAGCTTGTTCATAAAAATGACATGTAAAACATCCTCCCTAAGGGGTTACTGACTAATCTGCTGTCAGTGGAACCAAAGGAAATCGCATCAGGGAAAGTAGCATCTTCTTGTATTTGAATTTTTCTTGATTATGACCAGAACTTTACTCAATTCTAAACTTGGTAATCAAAACAGAAGAATATGAAGCAATTTCAGATTATTAGCACAATAATAGTTTCCAAAATCAGCTGCATGTTTCATCATTTACATATATTATTTACATATGTATATGATCCACATATCTACATTTCTAAAAGAATCATGGGTTAATTACTTGCTTCCAGTTATTTTTATTTTTTGGTGGAGTTGGAATCAAAGGTGTCCATGGCTCTATCACTTGGTTCTCATGAACACACCTCAAATGCCTATTGAAAAGGCAGGGGATGGGGCTAGGGATTTAGCTCAGCGGCATAAGCACCTGCCTTGCAAGTGTGTGGTTGTGAGTTCGATCCCTGGTACCCTTAAAAAAGAAAGAAACAAAAAAAAAAAAAAAGCAGGGGAAGAGGAGGCTAGAGAGGAAGATGAATGAAACACTATAGAAGTTGTCATGAAATTTATCGCTCCCAACAATTACATATGAAGATAAGGCTGGTTGAGAAACCTGACCGCAGTAACCTAGGTCAGACTGATGTCCCCAAAGTCCTGCTTTACGTTGTCTATGTCTCAATCAGTTGTTTATTGCATTACATCGTGCATGTAGGAGCCATTTTGTTCTTAGGATATGGAGGGCGTAAAAAGTGGTAAGACATTTTCATTTGATTTGGACCAGGCATTCCAAATTAGATCACCCTTGACTTTCTTTTAAAAGGAAAAAGAAAAAGTCAACTTTCAGTGCATTATGTTTCTTGTCCTTAGGAAAAAAATACGGTGAACTGATCATATTTAAGTGTCTTTCACTGAATTAGTGTAACAATACCCTTGATTAAGAAAACCCTGAGATGCAATTAATCATATTAGAATATATAAAAGGGAAAATGAACAGCAATGAATAATGAGGTTAACAAGTTGGTCACATGAATGACAGGTGCGGTAATACAAAACGATAGACGAAGCAATGGGGAATGTGATAAGAGCTCTCATTTAGAGAAAAATAAAATTAACTAATTTACTAAAATTAAATTTAAGTCTCAAAGGAGAGGAATAGTGCTCCACAGAAAACACACATAAAGCAAGTCACTTAGTAGTTTAGGCAAGTGACAAGGAGAAAATGAAAAGGTATGAAACAAAGATGTCTCAATAACAAATGCAAAACAAGCAAAATGTCATTAGACTCAGGCACAACTTTATGCTCACACATTAAAATCAAAGAGGTCGGAAACTGTCCTGGAATTCTCCAATTACACAATTTCCACCAACCCCACTTAGATGTATTCCCAAGGGAGTGGAGGACCAGCAAACCGGAGTTTGGGGAAGGGCTGCTGACTGTCTCAGTGTGGGGCCCACCGCTATGAACCTCATTGTCCTTCAAAGCTATAAGCTTTCAAAACAAAGGACTAATTCTCCTTCTATTATTTCCCAAACCAGAAGAACATCTGAACTGAAAACAGGATACAAAATTGGGGATTTTATTTTTGTCTGTGCCAAAACACTATGAAATCTTTGGGGACTCTCACAGTATCTTCAGACTCTGCCACCGTTAGCTTCTCAGCAGGCAGTTCAGATGTTGTAATTTATTCAGTGACAGTGTAGAAAAGTGGAAATAGAATACTTGCAGGTTTAGGAGATTGCTATTTCAGGAGTGAAGTGTGACAGGGCATGACGGGAGGCCATGTGGAAGTGGCAGAGTCAGTAGACACATTAGTGGAAAATTCCATCATACGTGAAAAGAATCATCACTTGTGGTTGGATTGTTTTCAACAATTTAGGGAAGAGGAAGGCTGGCCTATTGGAGAATTTTAATGAGTTTTCACTGAATATGGCTTGTTATGACTTGGGTTCAGGTGCACCATGGCAGGAGAGACTAGCCTTGAGATAGGAGAGTGAGCAGGTCAGATCACGAAGAATTTGGGCAACATATTACCTCTAGGGGTTTGACTTAATTCTCGGGACTATCTGGAGCCATTGAAAGGCTTGTTTTTCATGGGGACTGACAGTCAAAGCTGTGAGGAAGGAAGATCTCTCTATTAGCTCTGTGGAAATGGCCGGAGTGGGACAAGATGAGCAGTAGCCAAGATAGTAGAAGCTCAAAGTTCTCATGTAGGAGGTTCCTATCACAAGGAGTGGTCTAGGGGCGAGGGAATTAGTGTTTCTGGATCCTCACTCTCTACTGATTGGTGGCAAGCATAATCTATAGACAATTCTACAATATTTTCAGATAAAGTTCCCCTCCAATGGGATTAAAATATGGCTTAATTGTACTCCCATGGAGAAGGTAAATGTCAAAATGAAAATGTAAATTAGCTCACCCTTTGTTTTAAATTTTTAATATTAGAAAATGGCCAATTTCCTCTGCTCTTCGTGATGTAAGAATGGCTTATTTTAATGTTTGTTTTCATTTTCATCCTTGGTGACAGTTGGGTTGCTTTCAATTCCAAAACAGTGGAAGGAGTGAGAGAAGGCTTTGCCGGGTAACTTGATCACTCTAAAGGTGAGAATCCTGTTTGTGGTGTTCCACAATCAGCTGTATTTGGCATGATTTGGGGGAACGTGCCAGAAAAAGCAAGTCCTCAGTGAAGAATAAGCACAGATGGGTGACTTTGTTCATGCTGTATACTCAGGGAGGTCTAAGCCAGTCATGGAATGATCAGATTACACACAGTTTCCACCAACTCTAACTAGATATTACCCAGGGGAGTGGGTGGTCAGCCAGCTGTGTAGGGAGTTGAGGTGAAAGCAAATTCTGTGGAAAAGGTGTGGAAACCAGAAAGATGAGTAGGAGTCAGCAAAGGATGTGCCCAGTTCCCATTCAACAGCTTCTGTTCAACTCATCTGTTTAGCCCAAATTGCTGCGGAAAAGTAGTGAAAATGGTCTATTGATACAGCATGAATAAATCTGAATAATTTCTCAGGAAGTAAGATGGAGTTACACAGGTAGTTCTTAAAATTATTTTTATGTTTCAATGTTTGCAAACATAATAAAACCAACTATGATGGATATATCTGAATAAACAAAAACAGGACAGTAATCTTGCAGATAGATAAACTTCAAAAGCACATTTTGAGGAGGAGGAAGAAGAACCTTTGAAGACAAAATATTCACAGTATGGGAGCTGGGTACTTTTCTAATTTAATAATCTAAGTTTAAGTCAGAATTGAATAGTGTTAAACAAAGACAATTCTCCGTATTTCTTCACATTTTGTCACTTTTCTGACATGTCCCTCTTCCTGAGTGGAAGCCCAGCCTGAGCGCCTGCTGCCTGTGCCCGTGGCCAGGACTCTGAGTTCTTCCTCTTCCTTCCTGCCAGCAAAGCCAAGGAGTCGTCCCGCTCTGTTCCTCCCACCCTCCCCCATCCCCATGGGGCCAGAGACTAGGAAAATACCTTTCATCCCTTGCTGTACTTGGAAGATACCCCAGTGTTTTCATTTTATTGTGCCCTAAAGCTGAGAACCGCTTGCTTTAGTGATTTACCGTCTCACAGACAGAATTACCAGAGAAATGGGTGCTGTTTTCTCTATACTGATTGAACACACAAATACAATAAATGTTTATTCTCAAACCAAGGAAATCTTGCTTAAAAATAAGCTATAAATATTACGTATTCCTTGTTTCATCTTATGGTTTACATCAATACATCCTTGGCAAGTTTACTAGTAAACTTTCCTAAATAAATTGGATTTCTTTTTAAAAAATGTTTTACATTGAGAAAACATTTAGATCCTTTCCAAATTTTAAAATCAATCCATGATCTTAGTATTTTTCA